CTGCAATCGGCAAGCCAGCGGATTCACTTTGCTAGCCAATGACAAGTCCTAAAAGATCCACGTGATCATGCCCGTGATCGGAAACAAAGAAGACTCCATTTGGCGCTCATCTTTGAATGTACTTTTCATCGGTTGATCGCTTTTCTCAACTGTTTTGCTTAATATAACATTTCTAAAGATAGCTTTTATTGTGGTTCAATGGGAAAACGAGAATAGCGTGAGTGTTGTAAAAGAGAAGAAAGTGGAGTTAAAAGAAGGGACAACAGTTGACATATGGACCGGTACAAACAAGGGTCGAGTGGCCATCTGTAAAGCTACGATTTTGAAAGTTTGTGGTGAGTAAAAATTGCGATATTCGTTGTGATCAAAATCTTATAAAAGAATAGATGTAGCGGGTTGAATTAAGCTTACATAACGCTCGGCGCAACTGAAACTAGAATAATTCTGAGAATCGAATCGGTCACTTGCATGCCGCAGTTTCTTAAGCTTATGCTTTACAATGAAATAAACCTATCAGTAAGGTTTCAAGATTCCTCTAGTCACGTTTGGGAACACTCAAGATTCATAACAAACCTTAGTACATAAAGAAGCCCTCCTTGGTAAAAACAAAATAATGTATTCAGCCCTTTTTTAGTAAAATCCATGAGAGAGATGTACTAACTCCAATACAAAAAGTCAATCAATATAACAGAGATTTCTCAATTTGAGAATCCAATGAATGCCCTTTTCCTCATAGCCATCTTAAAAGCCTGGTCTGAGCTTTAAATATACATATTTTAATATATTATTTTTTTTCAAATTCAGATGTCAAGGAATCCAGATACAAAATGGTCAAGGTTCTTGTTGACAACCTCATTCAAGGCCAACTCATTGTGAGCCCAGGAAAAAAAATACAAACAGTACAAACAGCAGCTAAGTTTGCAGTTTAGGATAACTTCATTCTAATTTATTGTTACAGTTACAACAAGATTTTAATCAAAAAATCAATTTTATTTGTCTGTAATTAGCCCCTTCACTCCCAAGAATATAACTATATAAATATAACTTAAGATATTGTATTTTATGGAAAAGAATCAACAGATTTTATTCACAATTTGTGTCAAACCAAATTTAATGATTGATTAGAACTATTTTATATGAATAGCTGTAATTGAGGATTAATCCATATGAAGTTTTCAAGAAAAGAAAAATAAATCAAATTCCATCCTAATATTACCACACATTGATGTTAATAATTAATCAAAAATATTTTACATGTAGGCCTTAATTAAGCTTCTAAATAAATTTCATTTTTTAATTTAAAGTATTTATTTTATATCATTAGCCTCAAATCCTTGCTTAAAATTTCCAGTAATTCTTAAACATTCCTAAAAATTCCCAAAAATTCCCAGAAATTTCTAGGAATTTTTTAGATTTACAGCTTTTCAGGGAAAGTCATTGTTTCTCTGAGTTGGAATTCCTAGAATTCCTAGGAATTCAAGTCCTGTTGGCTATAAACTTGGAATTTCTGGGAATTTCTGGGAATTTCTGGGAATTTCTAGGAACTTCTAGGTTTTTAGAACCAGAGTTGTTATGGTTGGGAATTCCTAAGAATTCCTAGGAATTCTAGGAATTCCCAGTCCGAATTTACCGTGAAAATTCACACCTTTATTCCTAGGAATTCCTAGGATTTTCCTAGCAATTCCTAGGAATTCCAAAAGCCATTTCGCAAGGGTAACTCGATTGATTACGTAAAGTTGTAGTGTTAACATTTGATCACGTTTTCCAGTAGCCGTAGCTATTATATTACACGTGTACTTATCAGGTTACGGGTTTCTTGCGAAAGTCACATGCTATCGTTGTACAACGAGTTTATATCTTCGCTATTTAAGAGCAAGCTATCTCGCTATTGTCGCTATCATTGGGTTATATGCTATCAAGCTAGGAGCTAAACCAAAGTAAGTCTTTTTTACTTGTTATAATTGTTGCATGATTTCGTTACTCTGTTTACATCGGTTTCTATTAGATAAAGGCTTAGTTGATTTCATTGTCGTTATGCACAATCGATATACGGTACAATGTAAGTTACGTAGGTTTATTTTTAATTCCCTTTAGTTCGAACCACATCACATCAAATTGTATCACGCTATTGTTGTGCTTTGAAGCCATCGCTACGTATCTTCGCTACCGTCGATTATCGTAAGAATAAATTTGTAAGTTGGTTGGAAAACTTTGTTATACGTCTGTTGTTTGTGCGTTCGTTTTATGCTCCTGGTCACTCGCTATCCTGTGACTCCACTAAAGTCACAGCTTGTGTTTAACAAGCTGGATAAGCATTCAGTTTTGAAACCTTTTGTTACATATTCATCTCCTTCTACACCTTACTCAATAAACACGTTGGTTCTACGTCAACCATATTCAATACCATTCTAGAATTGTGAGGGCAATTCCATGTTACAGACATTACATTATAGACCAATTTTTTGGAAACTAATTTCCTTAACAAACTTATTTTACACAGTTTTCAATTTATAATTTGTACAAACATTCCTCACAGGGTACTTGACCATCAACAGAAAAGAAATCTTTCTTTCTATAACAAAGGCTTCCAAAATTTTTGTGTTAAACTCTGTTACAGACATTACAAAAAATCAACCTAAAATTTTTTTGTGTTCACTTGACACTTTTTTCCCAGTGAATTGACTATTCAGACATAGATCATTTAAAATAATAAGAACAAGGCTGCTTCATAGCTTTATTAAAATCTAGTTGTATCCCTTATTCTGTAGTTAGATTTGAGCTTGAGCTAAAAACTTCCTGTTGTGGACATTACAAAATTTTTGTTACAGACATCACACTGTGGAACTCTTTTTTACATTGGTAAAAATAAGTAAATATTTTTTGTTTATTTAGGAACTTTTTATAATTGACTTTGTCAGAACCGATATATTTATCTTAATCAGGCCCAATAACAAGTTAATCCTTTAAATCCCAGGAGTGATTAACATAAAACTTCTCCCTACACATTCATACATTATTCAGGAAACAGGTGATGAGAATATTCAAACTTATCAGGTAGAAGCTGCTATCTTGATATAGCACCAAGTTCTCACAACTAATTTGCAAAGGAAATGTGTAGCAGCTAGAGGGGAGAATTAACAATTAGATCTTGGGAGTTAAAGGTTAATTCTCTTTTCTGGTTGGGCTGATAACCAAAGCATTAATATCACACTTAGGTGTACATGTAATTGTGGTAGGTGGAGTATCCCATATGGAGCTTGCTCCTTACAATTCCATTTTATTGAGCATGTTCTAACTAGTGTTTCTGCTGTCTTTTAGTTCTTGATTTTTGAGATACAGTACAGTTTTCTAGAGTGACACCGAGTTTTATATTGGAAGAGCCTTTACTGGGTTGATAATGAGGTTGAAATCAAATTTCTTCACAAAGTTGTCAAAACATTTAACTGGCCTCTGAGGAGCAATATTGATATTGTCCACAAGAGAAGAGTCTACTGTAGTTCCACATATTGAGAGGCTTTTTAAATATCTTTGAAAAGAAATTGTTTGCAAATAGATGATCAAACTAACTGCAGATCGCAGTAGTTCAACACTGCTTTAATTACGAAACTTGGATTGTTCTGAACTTTTTGTAAGAGTACTATTCATTGACTCTCAATAAGCCAGTTGATACTATTTTGGAAAGTTACACTGCACTGAACTGTATGAATTGATAACTTTCTCTATAGTATTATCAGTGCAATGGCCTTTGAAAGTTGAAGTATTGCTTGTTTTAAACTACATTTCTGAAACATGGCATGTTATATTTTAATTTGTTATCTTCAGATATTATAAAAGAGGGTACTCAGACTCTAAATATAATATGTCTCCCAGTAAACTTAATTCACACTTAGACTCAAACTTCTTGAAAATTTATACTCCTCAAGTCAGCATTGCATTGTTACTGCTAATGTACAGTTGTTGTTATGGTTATTGATATTAGTGTTTAGTTAAAAGCACTGAAAATTTGGATGTGATACATTTGAACAAAATTGGTATGTATGTAGCATTTATTTCTCCCAAAAGAATTACCATAATAAAAGTCATGCAGTCATAATGTCCATAATATAATGTCCATAATGTAATGTCTGTAATGTCATGTCTGTAGCATAAAGTACGCTTTTTTTTTTTTTTGTGTTTTACACGGTTTTGGTAATTTACAACACTCAAGTTTAGGCTCCTAAAAAGTAAAAAGGAGCCAAGCTGACAAAAAACTGATTTTTAATTTCAGAGAAAACAAAAAAAAGACTTTTTGTTATGGACATAACAAAATAATGTTACTAGCTCTCATTTACGAAGTACATCCATTTTGCAAAAAATCTTATCCACAGGTTCTTCTTTGTCTTGAGTTTTGTTAGTTTCAAATTTCCTCTGGTGAGATTTAAGGAATCAGGGCTCGAACTTAGCGGTGGTCTATTAGCCAAATACCAGTAGATTTTGAGTTTTGGCTAGTGGATTTTCTCATCTGCTAGCCATCTTGGCTAGTTAATTTTCGCCTCTATAAATAACTTAAGTCCTCAAACATTTTCAAAATTCTTTCATTTCAACAACTGGCATGAAATAAAAAAAGAAAAATTAACTCTATATTCGAAAAATAATTCTTTGTTTCGTTACAAGTCCGTGTTCGTTCGCCGCCATATTGACTTGCTTGATCGAGGAAACATGGGATCAAGTCACATACCGATGATGCAATGCTATCAAAAAAACGCTTGTCCGCCATTTTGAAATGCCACGCGTGATTGCTCCTGAAATGCCACGCGTGATTGCTCTCGTTAAGTATGGATATCAGGGCATTTCTGTCGTCATCAAAATCCTCTGAATCATCTCAAACATCTACAACTTCCACTTCAAAGAGAGCAATTGATGATTCTTCAACATGCCAATCTTTATCGAAACGAAAGTTCCTACGGTCGTTAAAGCATGAACTTTCAAGCAAGCTTCAGTCATCAAAGTTCATAATTGTAATGGCAGACAGTGCATGTGATGTTGGAGTACGTGAGGTAGAAGATGTTTATGCATGTCATTTGGTTAAAGGTGAGATAGAAAATTTATTTGTGGGGCTGAAGGCTTGTGAAAACAGCAAAGCACCTGGAATCAAAGCAGCTGTGGAAACTGCTATGACAGAGATGTGTAGGGATTGGAAAGAGAAGACAGTGGCCCTGGGAGCAGATGGAGCAAATGTTATTCTTGGAGAAATAAGTGGTGTTTATGGCTTGCTTAAACAAGAAATTCCTCACATTATTAAGGTACACTGCGTTGCACATAGGTTGGAACTTTCATTTGCAGACACCTTGTCAGATGTTCCAGTTCTTAAAGATGTCAAAGAAATGCTTCAAGGTATTTGGAAGCACTATCATTATTCTGCAAAGGCAGTCCGTGAGCTTAAAGAACTAGCTTAGAGTATGGAAGTGCGAGCATATAAGGCAATCAAAGCAGACGGTACAAGGTGGGTACCACATTTGCAAAGAGCACTGAATATTCTCTTATCAAAGAACTTTCAAGTTGTAGTTTTGCACTTCCAACATACCTCACAAGCAAGGGATGCCAGTAACCAGATGCAAGGAAGGGCTGTGAATTACAGCAAAAATTCACAAGCTACAAATTTGTTGCCATCATGCATCTGTTACTTGACATCGTAGATGCACTTTCCAAAGTGAGTCTTAGCTTCCAGGAGGATGGAATAACAATCTAAAGAGTTCAAGATAACTTAACTGCCCTTTTACCAAAACTTGAATCTTTCAAGGAAAGACCTGGTCAGCAACTAAACTCTTTCCTTACGGAAGTAGGGGATGGCAACACATTTAAGGGCATAGAGCTTCAAAGGGATGCAGACAGGCAGGCTATTAATGCTATCCAGGCATCTGCGGTGAATGCTGCCATGACATTCATCCAAGAGAGGTTTGGAGGATGGAAACAGATCCAGTATTGTCAGCAGCAGCTGTCTTGACAAACCACCGAGGTTGGCCAGTTACAGACAGGCATCGGCTGCTCTTACATGGCGAAAATGAAATCCAGACAGTACATGGTCATTTTCAGGTACCACTAGAGCAGCACAACTTCAGTCTGCATGACTGTCTTGATGAATGGATGAGTCTTTAATTCCATGTACAGCGAGTTAGAGCAGAACTTGAACTGAGGCAAAGCGAATTCTGGAAGAACAAATTTATGTTTTGCAAAGATGATTATCCAAACCTGCTAATTTTAGTGGAACTATGTCTTGTAATTCCTTGCCAGACTGCTTGCTGCTAGCGGGGAACTCTTGCATGAACAGAATCATGACTGACTGGAGGTCAACCTTGAATGTTTCTACTATTGATGAGTTGATGAGAATAGCTATCAGTGGACCTTCTCATGAAGACTACTGCAGTTCTTGCAGTTGGGCGCTGGCTGGAGGAGTCAGAACGGAGCAGACGGCCTACATTGATGGACTGATCATTGCCTTCAATGATCATTCCTACCATTTGGGAACACCTAATTAACTGTTTTATAATACTGAACACTACTAGGGTACTAGGCATTTTGAATGAGCAGCTGCTGTTTGCAGCTAGAAGCTTAAGTCACACAAAGAAGTAATGTCTGCAGCAGTACATGTACAGTTGGGTTTTATTGTTGTCGAGGTAATTGGAATAATGAACAAGCATGAACACATACAATGAATTTTATGTACAGTTGTATAATAAATTGATTACAGTTTGATAGCAACAGCAGTGTTACATTTTCTTGTGTGTGTTTAATCTATAAAAATGATAGTTTTGTGCAGTACACTTGCCTAGTAGAAATGCATTTTTGGCTAGTGAATCCTGATCATGTACTAGCCATTCGACTATTAACTTCAAAAGTTAAGTTCGAGCCCTGGGAATACATGTTACTCAAATTATTTTAAATCTTTCGGCGTGCCAGCTATTTTCACACACTTCTCATTGGACAAAAATAAACAGCCTCTCTTAGCCGTTTCCCACAAAGTCAACTTTCAGATTACTATTTTTTATACAATTTAGGGTCTCCTTATTCCAAAAATCCATGATTGGGCTGGATATGAAAAATTTTAAATTTCACCATTTAAGCAGTTGTAAAATGATTTGGGCCATGATGGTTTTCATTATTTTTATCATCCCCTACAAGTCACTCTGGTCATCTGATGAGATATACTTTTACAGAAACTGAACAAATTGGCTGTTAATAGCTATATGTGATGGCAGTTTATGAATATCTTGAACATGTTGAATTGTTTACACAATCGTCACAATTTTTCCAGAACTGAGTAAAATTTTGTGCTTCAACATGCTACAAACATCATCAAAAGTAACCTCCACATGAATGAAAAAAAGTAATTAAAGTGTCTGCTTTAAATCCTAATGCAACTCATTCGCAGCCACATGTTCCAACTTTGTTTTTGCTAATCAGGAAGTTGATAATTATAAACACAAGTATTTTTAAGTAGAAGCATGTTGTGAGCTTGCTATCGCCCTTCTCCCAAAAATCATATGGAGGGTCACAAATACAGAACCTTGCATTACAGCGACCAGTTGCATCCTATATTGGTCATTACACCTGTAACGACCAAAGCAACTTTTTAATCTTTAGATGCATTTCAGCTGCCAGGTGCAACATAATAAGACATGGTGTCAAACACTAGTGAAGGATGACAACATTCAATTTATACTCCTCAGTATGAATTCAAAGGATTGAACTACTGGGTAAAGATTGATGCAAATTTAATTAGTGACCTATCTTGCTACTTTAACATTATGTTTCATATTCAAAGCAAAACGATATTCATGAAAAAAAGAGAATAGCAAATAATAACATGAACATTTTTTATTCTCATGAGAATAAGACACAAAAAATCCTCACATATATGTATCATATTTAAAGAGGGAAAAAAAATGGAAAAAAAACATATACACCTACATTTCCTGCCTTCAAAAAATCACAATATGAGCAGTCAGAAAATGATGGACATGTAATAATTTCTGAAAAAGAAAAACATAAAATAAATATTAATCAAATGTGAGAGATATTAATGGTCACAAAAATTCCATTTAAGGCGCTATATTTATTCCTTTAACTCCCATGAGTGACCAAGACCAAATTTCTCCTTACAATATAAATATGTTATCAACCAAATAAGTGACAAGATTTAAGAAAAATATCAATTCGGGGATAATTAGTTGATCCAATGCTAAATTCTATGAACTAACATTATAAGAATTGTATGACTGACAGTAAGGAGAATTACAAATTGGATCTGGGAGTTAAAGGGTTAAGGCAGTAATTGTTGCTATTGAACAGTGTAATGAACTGAAGAAAGCTTTAGGATAATCTGAAAGACATAAACAACATAAGGCTGTTTCACTCGATCATGCTCAAAAGGGGTTGTTGGAAAATAATTGAACTCAAGAGGAATCCTATAATGGTAAAACCTTCAGATATATCAATTCATGGATACTGCATGTGTCTGCTAACTTCAGTCAGCAGGTTGAAACTGAGGAAATCTAATATGTAAATATGTCATTCGACAACTGCGAAGGAAAATATTGATAGTTTTTGGGAAACTTAGCTTCGAATTGGCTGTTGCATAAATTTAACATCTGCAGACTATTCAGAGGTTCCTGTTACTAGTGAAGTAAAGCTATATGCTGAAGCACAAAGAAAGATTGCTTTAGGATTAGAGTTCAAATGCTCAATAGCCTCTTCAGTGCACACTGAACCTCAGTCGCCATTTTTCTTTCCATCCCACCCTCCTCAATGGTTATTTGTTATGGAAATTAACATTCCCTATCTTTTTGGGTTTTCTGTATAAGAAAGCCTCTCTGTAAATGTTATGTTTTAGCACTGTTAGATTTATCTGCTCATATGCACCAAATAAGAGCCACATTTTGTGGAAAATTAGTTAACTATATAACTAAGACTGGACGATTTGTCCCAAACATTACTGGTCAAATGTCCTATGGTTTATCAGATTGAATTTAAAGGCACAATAATTTTGTCGAAAAATATCATCGATAAATAATGCCTAACTCGAGTTCTCGGAAAACATATTGAATTGGAGAAGGCAAGTCATTCTCTAGCGACGGAAATCGAACTGTGGAGAAAGGGTTTCGCTTTCAGTTTCCTGTCGCCTACGAAAACGGCAATTTCCGCCCTCACTGATACGCATTACGTGTTTCAATCTTAACTAAAGCATTTCCCTGTCCCTTCAATCTAGATCAGTAACGACTGCTGGAAGTAAAACAGCTGGTCTGAGTACAAAACAGACTCTTACTAAAGTATGAAATTTAAATAAAGTGACCTTATATTTCGCATCAATTCATATTTCATGAATCTTCTTACCCTTCATATGATCTTCTCGAGAACGGTCCTTCAAACGAAATAATTACACTCGGAGCTCGTGAAGAGGCGACGCAATCGTCCTGAAAAAAAAAAAAAAAAAGTAGCTTATGTATCAAGTATGTCTTCACCATACACTTATTTTCAAAGGCTTGTGTTAAAATATTCGTAATCATACGCATTTACGCGAGAGAAATACCGTAAGTCAACAACGGGTTATTGAAGTTAAAGTTACGGACTGAATAACTTTACTATTCTGTCTGTACCTGCTCTTTCTTCGGGTCAGCTCTTCTCATGGACAGCAATGTGAGTTTAAATCAAGTTCCTTATCGCAAGGTCGCATGCAGCGTAGAACTTTGATCACATGGAAATTCAACTGGGAACCCAAATATACAAATTGAACGAAAGGACTTCATAGGTCACGTGAGCAAACTGGATGTCTACATACCTTTAATTGAATTTTCTTCCTTCAATATGTGGCATGCAAGAAAGGGATGATGTCAAGATTTCTGAAAAAGAGAAACACAATTAGTATTAAACGGTGAAATAGAGAGAGTGGTGCACTATATAGAATTGATATATTCCTACTTTCTCCATTCTTTTAAATGGATTACTAGGATTGATTACCAGACTGATAAGTTACGTGTGCAGTAGAGGTGCAAGTGGTTAAGGTATGTAACACTAAACACGATCTATAGATATTACTTGTATGTGAGTCACACCTGTCAAAATTTTCCTGAAACCAGCAAACAATGTACAATCAGACAGAAGTTCTTCAGGATCTTTTTCTTTCCAAACAACGGTCGGTGCGTAACAGTGAGAATAAATGAAACAATAAAAATTTGCATCGAACTTATTCCACTGTGGTGTCTGTACAACTTACGTCTTCCTACTGAATGTACGACTGAAAGCAGAAAATGACTTTTGCTTGAGAAATCAGCCATCTCTCGCAAAAGGATCCTGTTTTTCAAACCAGATATTTTTATAGTTGAACTGTATTTGGCATTGTAGAAGATCAGTACTGCGGAAAATATTTTTGCATGACCATTTGGGCAGAACCACACAAAAC